GGACTAAACCAAGTTCATTTTAAACATTTGAATGATTTTTTAAGGATAGAAGCAAATAAATAAATAAAATATGCACAAAAATGACATTTTACATCATTTTCTGTCAACTTATTCCAGTTTTTTGTCTGCATTTGCAAAGAATTAGTAAAAGAAGCAACACACTCAAAGACTGTCTTAAATAAACATAAAAAATAAGCTGTTTATAGGTAATTTAATTTAAATGTGCCCAAATAAATGACCACATTATTTATACTGGTACTAATTTCTTTTAAAAAGAGACGAGTTTCTTCAAACAGCCCAAAATATTTGAATTATTGAGTCGATCTGCTGAAATTCAATGCACATATTGTGAAAATTCAGATGTTTCAACTACTGCAACCACCCTTTCCTATTAATATGATTTAGATTCAGGTCATATTTGGTCAAAATTTTGAAGAGCCACTTCAGAGGGCCTAGCGAGCTACATATGGTACTGTGGAGTTAAATGGGTGACAGCTTACATTGATATTGAAAAAGAGATTTGACATTGAAAAATAAAACATTAAAAAGATTTTGATATTGTAACTTTAAAATGGCAAAATATTTTCAATGTTTTTTCCCCAGTTTTTCATTTTTCAATGTTTCATTTTTCAACGTTGTGTTTTTCAATGACAACATTTTATTTTTCAATGTTTTATTTTTCAGTGTTTCTTTTTTTAAGTGTTTCATTTTTCAGTGTTGTGTTTTTCAATGTCAAATCTCTTTTTCAATATCAATGTAAGCTGTCGCCCATTTAACTCCATAGGGTCACAGGTTTAATTCGAGGCGGGTCTGTGATGTTCAGAGTTTAAAGATTTATTTTAATTTTGAAGCACAATTTATAAAGAATAATAAGGGGCTCAAACGTGAGGCTAAATCAATAAAAAAAACATATTGACAAACCACTCCAATGTGGGCGGAGCCTCGAATCAAAGGCCATCAGTGGAAACCCAGAATAAGATAATGGCATCAGAAAAAGGACTAATTTGTAATCCAAGTCTGGATGTGATTGTTTAAAACTCATTATGTAAAACAGAGCTTTTAATTCATGAGATGGTGATTAACTGACTGATTAGCAGAATGCTGCAGATAATTACCGCGCTATAAGGACGACTACCCCCACATATACAGAACACCACATTACCAATTTAGCAATAATTAAGAAAAAAGGACTTTGAGATTTTCCCCCCATTGTGCGGATTACAGCCGGCATGATAATATGAGAGAGCGCTAAATTAGATGGTTTGAACATCTGAGGAATCCTTATTTCTGCTGGGAAGCGTTGATCCCAGTGTGTCACTGGCGTAATTTGGTGTGAAGCAAGAGATTAGATCAGAGATT